CCCGCTGAGCAGAGAGCCTGATGCAGGGCTCGATCCCAGGACCCTGGGATCATGACCTGAGCTGAAGGCAGAGGCTTTAACCCACTGAGCCCCCCAGGCGCCCCTGGGATTTATTTTAAAAGAAGACAATTACACACAGATTAGACACAGGATTTAAAAGGAAGAATGGTGCCTTAAATTACATAGAAAAAGAAGAATGCAGGAAGTGAAGATTTGGGGGAAATAGATCATTCAGTCTGAGGACACGTTAAATTTGAGGGGATCTAGACTTCACAAAGGGGACATAATGTGGACAGCCAGATAATCAAGTACAGACCTCACACAAGAGATCAGAGATGGAAATAAAAGTTGGTGGTCATAATTTGTAGCGAATACAGAAATCTCACAGGCTAAAGTGATATCATCTGGAGAGTAAAAATAGAGGGAAAAGAGGACTAAAAGACAGAGCCTTGAGTCTCTCCAATATTTAGAAGTCAGAAAGTTGATAAATAACCAGCGAAAGAAGATTGATAAAGAGTATCTGGTGATGAAAGAATAACTTTCAGGAAGTTATTAACTCTGTAAATGCTTCTGGAAATTCAACTAAGAAAAAGAATACTTTTGACCAGAAGTTTTAACAGTGTGTGGGACATTAAAGGAGGGATCCTTCCATGTATATAGATATGAAGTTAATTGCATATTTTGTAGCTGTGGTATAGTATCATTGTAATATCTGGAACAGCAGCTCACGGGGAAATTTTAGACAATTAAATCCTGAAGTAAAGACAAATAATTCTGTCTTGCTCATAAGTAGCCATAACCCACCAAATAGTACAAATGGTACAATCCTGTACCAAAGCTGAATGTGTGGAGGAAACTGGAAAGAAATGCATTGTTCTACATAAGAAAACAGAAAGAGTTTGCTTTTCTCCATTTTTTGACTTTGTGTGTTTAATTTATCTCCATTTTTTTTACTTTGTGTGTTTAATTTATACATACAGAGAGGGGTGATGGAAAAAAGTAGGGGGAGGAAGATTATGGGCATATGGAGGATGACAGAAGGACACAGAGTGACTGAATAAAATCTTTTATATCAAAGATAGTTAATACTGAATTTCATATTTGTAACTTGCAAAGCCCTTTATCATGCCAACCTTTCAGTAAAATCTACTCCACCTACAAAGAGCTTGGATATTTTGTTTTTCTTTGACTTGAAGAAATGGAGCTGAATTGCAAATTGGTATCAATTTCTACACATAGAAAACGTAGCAAATGGAAGATACAGGGTTCAGGGCAGAGAGTAAAAAGTCAGTGGGAAACTATGTGAGTTACAGCATGTGAATAACAGCAGAGTCACAGAAATAAATAAAGCAACATCACTAGACCAACCATGAATGTGACGTGGAGCTTCAAAGCAAAGTTACCTCGGTGTGTTGAAGACCATGTGACCCAAGCTGTCTCTGGGATAATATAAGATATGAATGCAAATAGATGCACCTTTCAAGGAGAAAATCAATATGCCGCTTTCATCAATAGATTTTGCTTGGTTAATTATTAAGTTTCCCCAAAGAGTGAATTATTTTTAGAAGTATGAATAATGATATGAAATAAAAGAGGGGAAAAATCATTCAGGCTCACCTTAAATAGGCCATCATTATTTAAGGTAGGATTAAGCCAAGTAGACCAGAGACATAAGATCAAGATTGTTTTTTAAACACACATGTTTCTATGTTCATAGTACCATCTATGTTATTTTATTTTATTTTATTAACTGTACATGCAAAGTGGAGCTTGAACTCACAACTCTGAGATGAAGAATCACATGCTCTTTGGGGAGCCCGAGTGGCTCAGTTGGTGAAGCCTCAGACTCTTCACTTTGATTCAGGGCATGATCCCAGGGGCGTGAGATCCATTCCCCTCTTTGGACTCTACTCCCAGCTGGAGATTTTCTCTCTCCTTCTGCCTCTGCCCTTCCTCCTGCTCTCTCTCTCTCTCTATCAAATAAATAAACAAATCTTTAAAAAAAAGAAAAAAAAAAGAGAGAGTCAAATGCTCTACTGACTAAGCCAGCCAGGTACCCCTAGGGTTAAGATTTGAAAGTATAAATAATGAATAAAGTCATCTCTGTTAAATTTAACACTTCCTACTTTTACAATCCAGTATCTTTAGGTTTGCAAATGCACTCTAAAAAATTTCTGGATTTTTTCAGACAACACACAGCATTGGGAAATGCCTTATAAATGCTACAAGTTTTGGCAGGATGAGGTTTTGGGAAAGTTTGGTTCTTAGGGGTTTGGAATAAGGAGTTCTTAAGAATTTTCTATTTAAAACACAAACATTCCTTCCTGCTTCCAGATCCAGTGTTATGGAAATGTGGGTTATTGTCCACAACAAAATCCTCAATTAGGGGTTTAAATCAGTTACTGCATCATTTTCCTTTATCTAAAAGTTTCCAATGCTATTGCTGGTATCTGCAGATTTTAAATGTTTTTATCTCTACCTGGCCATTGTATACAAGACACCATGGTTCTTTTCTTTCCTGACTGGCTTCAGTGGCTCTAAACTTCCCAACAAGATGAAAGCTATGCAGTTCTACAAGCAAAAACACTCAATAAATATTTGCTTAAAGATTGATAATTTGTGGGGCACCTGGTTGGCTCAGTGGGTTAAAGCCTCTGCCTTCAGCTCAGGTCAGGATCCCAGGGTCCTGGGATTGAGCCCCACATCAGGCTCTCTGCTTAGCAGGGAGCCTGCTTCTTCCTCTCTCTCTCTGCCTGCCTCTCTGCCTACTTGTGATCTCTAACTGTCAAATAAACAAAATTAAAAAAAAAAAAGATTTTTCGCTAAGCATGATACCCTCTAGTTCCATCCATGTTGTCGCAAATGGCAAGATTTCATTTCTTTTGATGGCTGCATAGTATTCCATTGTATATATATACCACATCTTCTTTATCCATTCGTCTGTTGATGGACATCTAGCGAAATAAGTCAATCGGAGAAAGACAACTATCATATGATCTCCCTGATATGAGGGAGAGGAGATGCAACATGGGGGGTTAATGTGGTAGGAGAAGAGTAAATGAAACAAGTTGGGATTGGGAGGGAGACAAACCATAAGTGACTCTTAATCTCACAAAACAAACTGAGGGTTGCTGGGCAGAGGGGGGTTGGGGGGGGTTATGGACATTGGGTAGGGTATGTGCTATGGTGAGTGCTGTGAAGTTTGTAAACGTGGAGATTCACAGACCTGTACCCCTGGGGGAAAAAATATATATATATATATGTTTATAAAAAATAAAATTATAAAAAAATAAATAAATAAATAAATAAATAAATAAATTAAATAAAATAAAATAAAATAAAAATAAAAGATTTTAAAGATTGATAATTTGCATACAAACATTAAATTTTTAAAATAGATTTTATTTTGGGGTGCTCTGGATGGCTTAGTCAGGTTAAGCGCCCCCCAACTCTTAATTTCAGCTCAGGTCATGATCTCAGAGTCATGGGATTGAGCACCTCGTCGTCAGGCTCCATGCTGGACATAGAGCCTACTTAAGATTCTCTCTTTTCCCTCTACTCCTGCTCCCCTCTGTCCATCCCTATCTGAAAAATAAATAAATAAATAAATAAATAATAAAATTTGAGAATAGTTTTAGAATTATAGGCTAATTGTAGATAGTATAGAAATCCCCACACACTGGGCACTGCTCCTCTATTAACATTTTACATTAGTATGGTCCATCTGTCACAATTAATGAACATGTACTGACATATTTTTTGAAGTCTACACTTTATACAAATTTCCTTATTTTTTTCCTAATATCTTTTTTGTATTTCAAGATTTCATTCAGGGTACTGCATTAATTTTAGTTGTAATGTCACCTCAGGCTCCCCTTGGCTAAGGCAGTTTCTCAGACTTTTCTTGTTGTTGATAACCATGATCTTTTTCTAAAGGACTTATCAGGTATTTCTTGGAATGCCTTTCAATTGGGATTTATCTGATGTACCCTCAGAATTAGGGTAAGTTATGTGTTTTCAGCAGGAAGACCCTGAAGGTGAAATGCCATTTTCATCATATCATACCAAGGTTATATCCATCCACATGACTTAGTGCTGTTGATTTCGATTTTGAGCACCAGGTTGAGGTAGTGTTTGTGAGGTGTCTCCAGTAAAGTTAATCTTTCTCCCCTTTCCATACTGTACTATTCAGAGGAGGTTACTATGTGCAGTGCCCACTTAAGGAGTGGAGAGTAACACACCACCTACTTGAGGAAGATGAGAGAATATTTACATACATTATTTGGAATTCTTTTTCATAAGGTATTTGTCTATTCTTGCCCCACTTATTTGTTTATTCAATAATTTATTTATATCTGTATGGACTTAATTGATACCTGTTTTATATCCTGAGTTATATAATCCAAGATCACATTTTATTGCTCAAATTGTTGGAATTTGGGCCATTAGGGGCTCTTTGAGTTGGCTCCTGTGTCCTCTTGACATACCCCAATGAATGTGTTTTGTTTTGGATTGGTTTTGAGTACTTCCTTACTTTTTGTTACTAAAAGAAGCTCTAGGTTCATCTTGTGTAATTGCTGTCCTAGTTCCAGAATCATCCATCTTTCTAGGGAAGCCTGGTTCCTTTTCTTGAAGAATGGTATCAGAAATCAAGAGCTGGGCTGAAGTGTGCTTGTTGCTACTGGACTGTCATTGCTTGTAGGCCATCTCGGGCTCACAGAATTAGCAGATATATGTGTGTATATTAACCCATATATAGACACATACTTATAAATATTTCTATATGAAAACATATGTATATATATTAAGCTAAATACAAGTTCATACTAACATCTCCAATTCTAATTCATCACCACATAGATCATTATACACTTCTCCCTTGCTTGTCTGTAACCTTATATGCCAACCGTGAGAAACCTGACTCCCACCATCTGCCATCCCTTTACTTAATGGGTCAATTTCCTGTCTATAAGTATAATGGTATCAACATGGTTAACCCTGTACTCGCTTCAGCAGCACATATACTAAAATTGGAATGATACAGAGATTAGCATGGCTCCTGCACAAGGATGACAAAAAAATTCATGAAGCATTCAATATTTTTCCACCAGGTGATGGGTATTAAAGAGGGCACCTGTTGGGATGAGTACTGGGTGTTATACACAACTAATGAATCATTGACCACTACAATAAGAATTTAGGATGTGCTCTATGTTGGCTAACTAAACATAATGAAAAATTAAAAACAAAAAGCAAAAAACACAACCAAAATGCTTAATCCTGAGCCACTGGTGGAAAATAATTTTATCAACTCGTGCTTACATACAGCTCTTTTTGCCTTGAGTCTTATGGATCCCAGTAATTCCCAAGGTTAATTAGGTCAATAATACCCTTCCTCCCATATTCTTCTCGGCAGTTGTTTCCTACATTCATAATAAAGTTAGATTGTTTTGTCTCATTCTACATCCTGAGGTCTACTGGCCTTCTAATGGATTTTCAAAATTTGCAAGTTAAGGTTTTCTGTTAGTGATGTATAGTTCTGTGAGTTTTGGCAAATGCTTGATGTCATGTATCAATAATGACAGTGTGAAACAGAATAGCTTTGTTAACCTAAAAAAAATCCTCTGTGCTTCACCTAATCAACGCTCTGCCTCATTCCTGAATTCCTGGCAATCCCTGGTCTTTTCACCATAATTATAGTTTCGTTTTTTTTTTTTTTTTCCAAAATGTTGTACAAGTAGAATAACATATCATGTAGCTACTTCAGGCTGGCTTCTTCCACTTAGCAGTACCCATTTAAGAGTCATCCATATCTTCTCATGCCTCAATAGGTATTTACTTTTTATTACCGAATAATATCCCATTGTTTGTATGTATCATAATTTGTTTTCCCATTCAGCTCTGGAAGGACATCTTGGTTCCTTCAGCTTCCGGTGATTATAAATAAATTTACTATAAATATCCAGGTTTTTGTGTAGACATAACTTTTCAGATAAATTGAATAAGTAACCAGGAGCATGAATTTTGGATCCTATAGTAAGGCTATGCTTAGCTTTCTAAGAAACTACCAATTTCTATTCCAAAGTGTTTGTACATTTTACATTCCCACAAACAAAGAATGAGAGTTCTAGTTGCTCCCCTACTTTAATGGTATTGTCAATTTAAAAATAAAAATAATATTAGTCATTCTAATATGTGCATTGTTGTATCTTATTATTGTTTTAGTTTATAAAGAACTCTTGACTAAGCCTATTCACAATCCTTGTCTTTATGTTAGCCAGCATTTGATGTAATATTTTATTATCTTTCTTTACTATAGCCAGTTTAATAATTATTAAACTTTTCTTCTCAGAGAGACCCAAATTTTACCCTATAGTAATGGTTAAAAGACAAATTAATTAAAACACATAAAAAGCCTAACCAGCACATTTAAGCATATTATAATATTATAAGCAAAGGAAGCAGCTGCAGTAGGAACTGTGCACATTATAGATTTATTAAAAATGAAAACACAAAACTATGAGGTATCAATATGCTAAGTGTCCTACTATGGTTGGCTAGTACTGATAGAATGCCATCCAAATCATAAATTAAGTCAGAATTTTTAATGCCACTTTGTGTTCCTTTTCAGTTCATTTATGTCACTAATGCAGAGCCCAGTGGGGAGAAAAATAATATGCATTATGATTGTCAGTTTTGGTGGTGATATTTGGAAAGAAAAGATATGGGAAAAGGAACAACTGATGTAAGTGATATTTGGCATTGCGCTCAACACAGCTTTCAGAAAGGATGTCTTCAACTATTGCCAAATCCTATCTGTATGATAGCCCTTAAATGGACAATTTTGCATGAAGCTCAGGTGACTTAACAGTTGTGAACCCTTCTATGAAGTCATTTTGCACATCTCTTTGCTTAGTTAATAGAATCATGCCATATGGGAAGTTAGAAGTGGTCTACCCTCCTTATCTTTCAGATAAGAAAATGGACAGTCTGAAAAACCTTACTAATTTTTTAAAAATCACATAAACAGTCTACCAAATATGGGGCAAGAAGCCCAGTCTCTGGATTCATTCTGTTTTGTTCCCCCAATGGAAGAGCAGAGGATTTGGTCATATATGTAATTCATATGCAGACTGCACAATTTAAGATAGGTAGAGGGGTTGACTCTGGAAAGGGCCCAGGAAACTGGATGCTCAGGGAGATACTAGACTCAAGTGTACCTGACCCTCATTTGTTTGTTTAAGTAATGGGCTTTCCTGATTAAGTAAACAAGCAAAATTAGTTCTACACCTTGGCTTCTCATTTCAGTTCTGACAGAAAAAGTGACTATTCTGCATCTTGGTTATCTGTTGAGCACTTGATCACCAGTCACAGCTATCAACAATGATATATCATTTTGTTTGTTATTCTATTCCTGCTTTACTTCTTCACTAACCTTCACTTTAATCCCTAAGAACATCTTCACAGATAAGTTACACACAAGCCTTTGTCTCAGGTATACTACTAGTGGAAGTAAGAAAAGACAATAAGTAAATAAATAATATAAATATATATATATTTATATGTATATGTATAATATATGTATTATATAATATATAATATATGTATATATATGTATATATTTAAAGGCACAATTTTCAGTCTTGATACTCAGTTGCAGAAGTTTGAGCTTTTTTTAACCTCCTTTTTGATGATTATTTTCATTTTTGTAACAATATTCTTATAATTTTTTCTTTGATTCATTCACTTAAAAGGAAATGAAAACTTAGCTCACTTGCATAGTCAACTCCAATTCCTCTTGCTCATCCTCTTAAAGTATCAAATTCACTATTTTTAGTTAAGATAGAAATCTCCATTTTCAGCCTTATGATGATTTAATACTCTTCACTCCAAAGCTGTATTCTATTTTATAGTCCCTTTCTTGAAAAAGTTGTTTTACCCCCTTGAGTTAATTTGTCTCTTTTTTCATTTGCATAATTTTGTACATATCTATCCATAATTCTTATTTCATGTTCTATAACTTCAATTCATATATCTTTTCTAATATATCACTTTTTTTCCTGAAGATCAATATACGATTTTCTGGACTCCTGCTGCCATTTTTTTTTTCTTTTTTAAAAAGATTTTATTTATTTATTTGACAGAGAGAAAGTAAGGACAAGCAAGGGGAGAAGCAGGCAGAAGTAGAGGGAGAAACAGTTTCCCGGCTGAGCAAGGCACCCAATTCGGGTCTCAATCCCAGGACCCTGGGATCATGACCTGAGTCAAAGTCAGACGCTTAACTGACTAAGCCACCCAGGCACCACTCCTGCTGCCATTTGGATGCTTACATATTGTAAAAGCTCCTCTTTGCCTCTTTCTATTTCTGGAATACTCTTTCCCATGCTTCCTGTTTTTGGAAGCATGACCTCCAGTGTATTCCAAATAAAGAAGACTTGGAAAGTAAAATTCATGAGTCCTCTCCATTCTGAAATAGGTGTTTAAAAATGTTTTTATCATTTTCTATTTATTAATAGTTTGGCTGGGTATAGAATACTGGGTTAAAAATATTTTCCCATGGAAGCATAATTTATCTCAATACTTTAATGGAACACAAATATAATACTATTTTTCAATCTATAGTCTATATTCCTATTTCCTCTAATATCCTTCAATACAAGATTTTTTCCTTTCTTCCTCGGTTTCTTATTTCTTTATTTATTTCTCTTTTTTGGTGGGGGTAGGTGGGATCCAAAGTCTTTCGTTTCTTTCATTCTAAAGCACTTGTCATGTTCTTTTCCTAGCAAGATTATTTTTAAAGTCCGAATGCCAGTTGTTTTACAGACTGTCCCTTAATTTGTATGTGATGATTTTCCCATAATTAAATTGAGATTAAATGGTTTTGGCAGATGGTATTGAATCTCTTAATGCATCACAAGAGGAAACATAACCTTAGTTTATCTTATTAGTGAACTATAAGGTAGAGTTTGATAAAAAGTATTTACACACTGAACTGTAGGTTCACAGTGTTCATTAAAGAACAGTTCACAGTGTTATTCATATGTGAAGGCATTGATGATATGTATTGGGGTACAGAAAGTTATATCACATTCAATTTAAAAATGTGGAATATACCTTCCCTCAATATTCAAGGCTCAAATGGCAAAATGATATCAAATAAAGCAGCTATAAATATACAAAGCGACTACAGAATTTACCTAAACTGATAAAAAGCACATTACATGCACTGATTAAAGGATCTGAAATTATAACATTGATGGATTGTACAACTTCTCTGGAGAGACCCTACATAATGTGAAGACTCAGAAAGGACTATGCAGAGCTTGGGTTTCCTTCTTTCTCTTCTCTCAAAATCCCATAGGAGGTTATGTGAGAACAGCCATTCTAAAACTACTAATATTAAGAACAGTCATTTCCTTCTTATTAATTCTAATCCTCCGTAATACACTTGGTATTTCTGTGTTCTCCATCTGGGTAAAATACTAATCCCCCTTTTTTTATTATGATATAATATGAAGCTTAGACCAAATATATTCACTCTTAAATGAGAGTATAAAGATCTTTCTCTGAAAAAGGCATAGGATATATGTGAAGGTGGAATTCAAAACTGGTCCCTGTACACAGAGGGCAAGAAGAGACCAAAGAAGGAGGCAGGCCACTCTGGATTCGTAGGTAGAAGGTTTAAGCAAAGGAATTTACATACAAGGTCTGTCTTGAGGGGCTGCAAGATAAATACATCTCTGTCTCCAGGAACTCCATAAAAAGTTTTTATAGAGGCCTTAACTAAATTTAGTCACATATACAATCTATATAGTCTCAGGGGAAGGGTTGAGGAATTTGAGGAAACCTTGCTCGGCTCCAGCTCTCCTCAACCAAAGGTCACATCCTCTTAATGACGTCCTCTAATACTTTGTGAGTCCAAAACCTGGCTTCACCATTTACTAGTTTTGCTGAATTCAGGCCAGTGAGTCAATCTCTTTCCCTCATGTTCCTCATCCAAAAAAACGACAATGAGAGAAGATTATTATAAGGATTGAATTAGTTCATACATACGAAACACTTCAAACATAGTAAGTACTCACTTAATTGTTTAATCTTATTACC